GCAGGTGAGAAAAGCACCAGAGGCTCCAGCCAGCACCACCAGCCCTCCCAGTCCCTCCCAGTTCCCCCAGCCCCCACCAGGCACCCACCGGGTCATGGTGCGGAGGATCCAGGGAGCATTGCCCAGGGCTGGCACTGCCTCGTCCATCAGGGGGTGAGTCTTGACAAAGTTGAGGATCTCATCGGGGAAGGAGCTGGAGGAGTTGTATCTCATCCCCGGGGACGCACAGCACCCAGGCCTGTGGGCATGGCATGGCTCAGTGGCCCCGTGCCACACTGGCCCTGTCCCCAGCCTGTCCCCAGCCCTCCTCGTAACTGGTCATAATGGTCTCCAGCCCTGCTGGTACTGCCCACGGTTATCACCATCGCTGTCCCCATCGCTGTCCCCATCTCTCCTGGTATTGACCATGGTGGTCACCATCCTTGTCCCCAGCCCTGTTCAGCTGGTAATGTTCCTTGACTGTCATGATTCCTGTCCCCATCGCTGTCCCCATTCCAGCTGGAACTGGCCCTGGCTGTCACCATTCCTGTCCCATCCGTGTCCCCAGTCCTGCTGGTACTAGCCCTGTCTGTCTTCATTCCTGTCCCCACCCCAATCCCTTCCGGTTGGTGTCATCCCTGACCATCCCTGTCCCCTATTCCTTTCCCTGTCCCCACCACTGTCCCTGCCAGCACCAATCCTTGCCAACCCTGTCCCTCTCCCCATCATCACCCCATCATCATCCCCATCCCCGTCCCCACTCTCCCTGTGGCTATCATTCCTGTCCCCATCCCTGTCCCGGTCTTCATCCTTGACCCTCTGTCCACTCTCACTACTATTCCTGTGGGTACCAGCCCTGTCTTGATCCCAATCCCCATGCCCTTTCCTGCCTGTCCCCATCCCTGTCCCTGCCACATGTCCCTCACCGTGGCTTTGGCACCATGTCCTCAGGCACAGGTGTCCAGATGGACTCAGGTGACTTCTGCTCCCGGAAACGTCCCTCAAAGACAGCAGCCACTTGGGTCATGTCGAAGGCGCAGACAGCTGAGCCAGGAATGCTGGGGGAGACATGGGGTGAACACTTTTACCTCTCCACCACATCCCTCATGGGGACAGAGGGGTCCCAACTCAGCCCTGGTGGCCTTTGCAGGCCAACAGGAGACTCCAACCTGTTGGCAGGTGTGGAGAAAACAGCCAGCACCACGGGGCGCCCGTCCAGCTCCAGGATGTCTGTCACAGCTTGGATGACGTTGAAGTAGAAATGTGAGTCTCCTGGCACGGAGCAGTTGAGCCGAGCCTTGAGGAAGGAGGTCCACTGCTTCTCCAGCACCCTCTGGGAGCCCCCCATGTCGTTCTTGCACACTCGAGCCACTCGTGACACCACCACCTGTGTGGGGTGGACACCCATCATCACCTGGTACCCAACCCCGATGACCATCCCCGTGTCCCTGTCCCCACCATGGGTGTCTCACACTGCCACAGCGATCACAGAATAGTTTGGGTTGGAAGGGACCTTAAAGATCATCTCCTTCCAGTAGGGATGTGTCCCACCTTCTCCAGGTAGTTGAATTCCATGGCGATCTCCCGGAAGAAGAAGTAGACGTGGCTCCTCCATTCCACGGCGTGCACGAAGTAAGGCTCTGTGGGGACAGCAGCAGGGTCAGGGATGGCCCAGGGTGGTGTGACATGGGACACGTGCCACATCTTGGCATGGGACACACACCTTTGAACCACTTGGAGTCGTGTTTGACGGTGCGCAGGGTTGGGCTGTCCCCGAGGCTGCGGTAGATGACGGCGTCGATGGCCAGGAAATCTGTCACCGTGGCTGTGAAGAGCATCCCCCCTGCAGGGGACAGGGATGTCAGAGGGGACAGGGGGCACAGCACCCAGTGTGGCACCAGCAGTGTCACCACTGACCTGTGAAGAGGGCCACGTTGGCATGCTTGGGGTCGTAGGGACATCGGGCCATGCCGCTGATGTTGTCCCCAACAGGCTCCAGTGTGTCCATCTAGAGTGGGTGAGATGGGGATTGAGGATGCATCCAGGCACTGAGGCACCATCCCAGCAGGTGGTTGGCACAGATGGGGCTGAAGGTGGTGCCACACACCCTGCCAATAGATGTCCCCTCCTGCCTTCACCCCAAAATCCCCCTCCAAAGTGTGTCCTCCTCCTGCCTTCACCCCAAAACCCCTTCCCAAGCGTTACCCTTCCTACCTTCACCCCAAAACAAACTCTCCCATAGGTGCTTCCCTCCTGCCTTCACCCCAAAACCCTTTCCCATAAGTGTCCCTTCCTGCCTTCACCCCAAAACCCCTTCCCATGAGTGTCCCCCTCCTGCCTTGATCCCATAGCACCCCAAAACCCCTTCCCATGAGTTCTCACCTCCTGCCTTCACCCCAAAACCCATTCCCATGGTTTCCCCCTCCTGTCTACACCCCGAGAACCCCAAAACTCCCTTCTCATGGCTTTCCCCTTCCTTCCTCCACCCTATAGCACCCCAAAACCTCTTTCCCATGGGTGCTCCCTCCTGCCTTCACCCCAATCCCCCTCCCAAGTGGGGTGTCCCCCACGGGGGGGAGGTGCTCACACTGTAGTTGGCGCAGACAGGGTTGAAGGCGTTGGTGCCACAGACAAAGAGAAGACTCTCATTCCTCACCAGCAGCACCTTGACGAAGTTTCGGCACTCTGCCTGTGCCAGGAGAGGGGATTGTCACCCCTCAGCACCCCAAAACCCTCCCTGCCCCACCCCACCCCAACACAGAACCCTATCCCTGTGGGGGAATGGCTTGGGGGGGAGTATTTTCATCCCAAAAGGGCATTTAGGAGAGCTGGAATGGGATTTCTGGCTCCTAATAATTAGCAACCCAATTAGCCAATAAATCAGAGACACAGCTGCTGGCTGTGGGGAGGGTGACACTGGGAAGGGGACAGGGTGGCCTTGTCTGTGTGACACAGAGGGTGCTCAATCCATCACCCCATGGGGTACTGGAACCCCAACTCCATACCTCGTGTTTTCCCTTCATCCTGCAGATGCTGATGTCGTGCTGGTTCGAGCGCCATGTGAGCTTCTGGGGGGGTGGAAAACCAGTGTGAGGATGGGGAGAAACTGGGAGCAACCCCCCAGCATCCTTTGGCATCCTTCAGCATCCCCCAGCACCCCCAGAACCCCCCAAAACTTACCCTGTGGTAGCGCATCTCACCAGCCCCACTGGGCTCCAGGCTGACACGGTAGACATTGTCCCTGGGAAGGAGGACACAGGTGTCACCATCTCCCAGTTGGGATGTGCTCCCCCAGTAAGGCATTTTGGGGAGTGCAGGATCCCCCTCCACACTCCCTTGGGAAGGTTTGGGGTGCTGGGATGGGAATGAGCATCACTAGAACAGGGACAGCCTCCCCAAAAAAACGCACCGTGGTAGATTTTAGGGTGCCCCAGGGCAGGTAGTGGGTCCTTCCCCAGCCAAGAGGAGTGTGGGGTGCCCTCCCCCATGGAGGGGAGGTTTTGGGGGGCTGTGTCCTCACCTGTCCCCGATGAAGAG